GGTAATACAGAATATGAGAAACAATGAGGAAATAGGTTCACATATATGAATATTATATGGGAACATTGCCATTGTGAGGGTGCTTGCATTTTTAAAAAATTTTATTTAAAGAAAAAAGCAAAACAAAAAAGGGTAGTAATAATACAGAATTTCAAACAAAAATAAACACTAAGAAATCACTAGTTGATAAATTACATACTGTCATCTTAGAAATAGTTGTTCAAGTTAGAAAATTACAGCATACAAAGTGGATGTTCAAACAGTGAAACTGCAAACAGTTCTGTTCAGTGATCCAACAAAATCTTAGTAATATGGTTTTACACATTTAAACATATAGATAATTATATCCTTTAGAGCACTTTCTTTTCCTTTTTTTTTTTTTTTTTTTTTTGTTTTTACAATAGCAATTACACATTTTGGGTTTTATTACTCCTAAAGTTCTTACTACTTTTTACACTAGAGACACAGTGTGATGTTTAAAATATGGTTCTTATTTATTTCACTTAGGGTAGTCTTAAGTTACCTACATTTACCTATGAAGGCCTCAAGATCATCCTTTTTATAGCTGAGTAATATTCCATTGTATAAAAATACCACCTCTTTTTCATCCACTCTGAGGTTGATGGGCATCTAGTTGTTTCCAAGATGTAGCTATTACAAATTGTGCTGCTGTGAACATAGGTGCACGTATATCACTGTGACATGACCTTTTCAAGTTTTCTGGGAAAATACCCACGAGAGGAATAGCTGGGTTGAATGGAACTTCCAATCCTAGTCTTCTGAGAATTCTCCATACTGATTTCCATAGTGGTTGTACCAGGCTACACTCCCACCAACTGTGGAGCAGTGTTCCTTTTTCCCTGCAGCCTCGCCAACATTTGTTATCAGTTATTTTCTGGATGGGAGTTATTCTTTCCAGAGTGAGACGAAATATCAATGCTGTTTTAATTTGCATTTCTCAAGTGACCAGTGATGGTGAACATTTCTTCGTGTATTTATTTGCCATTTGTATATCTTCATCTGAGAACCATGTGTTCGTCTCAGATGCCCATTTTTGGAGAGTGTTTTTGAATTTGGGTGTCTTGATGTCTTTCAGTTCTTTTTATGTTCTGGATATAAGTACTTAGTTTTAGGGGTTGCTGGCTATAATTCTTTCCCATTCTGTGGGTTTTCTTTTCACTCTGTGGTGATTTGTTTTGAAATGCAAAAACTTTTTTTCAGTCTTCGGCAAATGGAAAGCCAGTTTTTCTAACACCATTTATGAAAGAGACTATCCTTTTTCCAGTCAATATGTTTATCCCCTTTGTGAAATTTCAGGTGGCTGAGTGTCTTTGTAGTTGTGCTTGCATCTTCTATCTGTTCCATTGACCCTCAGGTCTATTTCTTTGCAAGTACCATGCTGATTTTATCACTGTGGCTTTGTAGTATAATTTCAAGTCAGGAATTGAGATACCTCCTGCCCTGCCTTTGTTGCCCAGAGTTGCCTTTGCTATTCTAGGTTTCTTCTGTTTCCAAATGAATTTTAGGAGTGTTTTCTCTAGATCTGTGAGGTATGTTAATGGTATTTTGATTGGGATTGCATTAAATCTGTATAAGAGTTTTGGGAATATGGCCATTTTCATAATGTTGGTTGTTCCTAACCAAGAGCAAGGAATATTCTTTCCTTTTCTAACGTCCTCTTTAATCTCCTTTTTTTAGAGAAGTATAATTTCAGCATATAGTTCTTTTACATTCTTGGTTAGGATGATTCTAAGTATTTCATTTTTTTAGATGCTATTGTGAAGGGGGATATTTCCATAATTTCTCTCTCAGTGAGTTTTTTGTTTGTATACAGGAATGCCATTGATTTTTAAGTTTTAACATTATATCCAGCTACGCTGTTGAATTTGTTTATTACCTCCATTAAATTTGAAAGACAGATTTTCTGGGTACGTCAGTCTGAGTTGAAAGTTGTTCTCTTTTAGGACTTTAAATACCTCACTCCAAGCTCATCATGCCTTGACAGTTTGTGCTGAAAAGTCTGCTGTGATTCTAATGGGCTTTCCATGATAGGTGAATTGTGTCTTTTCTCTCTAACAGCTTTTAGTCTTATGTTTTTATGCTGCATGTCTAGGATCTTAATTATTATATGTCTGGGTGCAGCTTTATGTTGGTTGTGATTGTTTGGTGTTCCATATGCCTCACTTATCTGCATATCAGATTTTTTCCCCCATGTTTGGGAAATTTTCTGCTATTACTTCTGTAAATAGTTTAGTTATGTCATTTGCATTTACTCCTGCATCCTCACTGATGCCTATTAGTCTTATATTGTTTCTCTTGGCATCATCTTGAGGCTGCTGGATTATCATTTCATGCTGCTTTGTTATTTTTAAAAGTTCTATTCTTTCGTGATCGCTAATTGTGATCCTGTCCTCAAGGTCCAAAATTCTATCCTCAGCTTCATTTAAACAGTTTTGCCAACTTTCAGTAGAATTTTTTTGTTTCTTAGATGTCTCTTTGAGTTTGTTTCATGAATTCTGCTCATTTTCTATATTGTTCATTCAAGGTTTCAATCAGTTTCCTAGGCTCCTGTACTTTTTTTTATCTGTTTCTTCTCTAACTGTGCTGAGCAACTCCTTTACTAAGGCTAAATATTTTACATGAGAGAGTACTTCTAATTTGATTTCCTCTATAACCTCATGGAGTTGTTTTTTTATTTCACTTGCTATTTTTTCAGAGATTTCCAGTGTGTTACTTTTGAAGTCCTCTATTTCAATGTGTCTTGTACTTGGTCCTGGTGGACTAGTTGGTTGAGATTGTACTTTGCTTTCTCATTTTGCCATTTTCCCCCTTTGAGTTAATATTTGGTCCTTCAATCCCACTAGTGTCAACTGTTGGTAGTGTGTATTTTGGGTTCCTACTGTAAGACTGATTTTTGTCCAATTACTGGGTCACACAATGAAGAGGTGAGCCAGTCACCTGAATTCCTCCTGCAGGGCCTGTTGGGTGAGTCCTATCTTCTTCCTAGACTTTCAAGCCTAGGAGTACTGATGGAAACCAACCCCTAGTTCCTGCAGTAATTATGTCTTCAGGTTGTTCAGTCACCAGATCTCCCTGTCTATAGTGTTTGTCCTGGCTGTGACCTACTGTGTCTCTGGGTGTCCCACAGGCCTCCTTAATTTTCTCCAGGTTTGGGAGGCCTTGTTGGCACCCTCCTCAACCTACGTGATATCTGTGTGGAGGAAGGACTCACCTACCCACTTGCCAAGCTCGCCTATGGCCTACTTATGGATGGGATTTCTCTATTGCTCCTTTTTACTCACTGAAGGTGGCAAACTCTATTCCTGATTGAAGGACAAACCTACCTCATGATGGAAGCCTGCTGAATTCTTCTTACTGAGTGTCCCCTTGATACTGCATGGTTTTTGCACTGCAGTCTAAGGGTCTGGGGGGAGGTGTGGGAGCAGAAGATGAACAGCAAAGCTAGGTCCAGGAGGCTGGGGGGAGTCCCCTGATGGCAGCAGTGGGACTGCGGGGGCGCATGTCATGGGTTGTAGTTTCTAGGTCATGAGGTGTGTAGTAGCCAGGACTGTGGGACACGGGAAGGGCCCGGTTCTGACCCAGCATCATGCGCTCCTCTGGCTGGAATTCCCGGGTCCTGCAAGGTGGTCTGCAGAGATGGTGAGAGTCACAGGAGGGCTGTAGGTCTAGCATGGCCCCATGTGTACTGCTGGCTGGAGTTCCTGGGCTCTGGGAGGTCATCTACAAAGACACAAGAGTCACAGGAGGGGCCTGGGTCTAGCCCAGCCCCGTGCACATCTCTGGCTGGAGTTTCCAGGTCCCACGAGGTCGTCTCTAGCTTATCTTCTGTGTTTTAAAAATGAGGAAATTGAGGCTCAAAGAGATAAATGTGTACAAAATAACAAAGCCAACTACTGGCAGTTAATTACCGACAGAGTTGGAAGTAGGAAATAGGCCCCGCTCTTCCTGCATATGTTTACTGCATCTTGGAGTTTAACAAAATATCCCTAAACTAAAACAAAGCTATAAATCATTATTTCATTTTCGTGGGTTGATATGTAAGACTGCTCAAAAGGCTTCATAGGTGTAGTGCTCATAAGCTTTGGAATGTAGTATCTGTGATATATAGTCAGAACATTAGCTTAAAGCTTTTCCATATCTTACGTTGAATAAAAGGTAAGTTCTTGAGATGAAAACTGCTTGTGTGTATGATGTTACAGAAGTTTTAACACATCTGTCTTATTTGTGTAACTATAAATATCATCAGGACACTACGTTTTCTTTCAACCAGAGGGAAAACCCAAACCTGATACACCAGAGTTGAATCAGAGATTTAGATTTTTTTTTTCTTTTTTTGTTGTTTTTTTTTTTTCAGACAAGGTCTCATTATGCAGTTCAGGCTTGTCTTGGGCTCACTTTGTAGCCCAGGCTGGTCTTGAACTTGGAATAATCCTCCTGCCTCAGCCTCCAGAGTGCTAGTGTGTGTCACTGTGTCCAGTTTAGATTTCATTGTTAAGCTTTATTCCCTTTTGGGTGGAGATTTGGCAGCAGAAGTTTGCTCATTTGCATTTAAGATTTATAGGATAGTTCTGTTTGTGTTTTTGTGACAGTCCTGCTCTGAAGTGGTTGGGTGATAGAGAGCTTTGATTGGGTAAGTGCTGAGGTTAGTTTTATAATTTTTTCCTCCAATGAACTCTTTAACTCAGGTACTCTTTTGAGACACATTTTTACTGTCTTTGCTAGAAACTTAAATACCTTTACTATGGTAACATTCAAAAATACTAATATTAGGATATAAGTTTTACAGATATAATTGTTATAAACAGAGACAACATCCTTCATGACTAAAGAAAACAGGAAAGCCTTACTTGAAATACTAAGTAGAAGCAAGTTTAGTAAATTTGATTGTTTGACTTAAGTCTTCTAGAAAACATCTACAACAACAAAGAAATCTTTGTAACAAACTACCTGTCCTAATATGATAATGATTTATCTTGCAGTGTGTGAACTTAAGTCTCCTTCCATGAGTGATTTCCTCTGGGGGCTGGAAAACTCCGGCTGGTTACGGCACATTAAAGCCATCATGGATGCAGGAATCTTCATTGCGAAGGTATGAGATTACAGAAGAACACTCCTCCCTCCCTGCTCCCCTGCTGCGCTAAGCAGTGGCAACAGGGTGTAGGTAGCTGGCTTTGCAGACACCTCCATGTGGCGTCTTTGGAAGATGTCATTTTGCAAAAGAGCACACTGCTCAGTTGATACCACATTACATGGTTGTAAAATGGTAATATTTTTCTGGAATATTGTGTCTTTCATTAAGCTTAATCTAGTATAGGAATATACCAAATGTGAGTCAGTAATAGGGGCTTACAGATTACCTCCAATAGACCATTCTTTTTTAGTCTTGACATAAAACCTAAGTTATGTTCCACTAGCTGGCAGGTAGATTCCACTGTATTATCTGAAAAATCTTGCTGCAATTTTCACAATGGTCTTTTTTTTTATTTATTTATTTAAAAGACATCATTTCTTTTGTTGTTGCTTTTTGCTTTTTGTTTTTTTTTTTTTTTTTTTTTTTTTTTTGGTACCGGTGATCAAACTCATGATCTTGTGCTTGTCAGGCAGGCACCTATGCCACTGAGCTAAATCCTTGGCCTATAATGGTCTTTTTTTAAAGTGCATTCTATTGTGTTGCTCAATGTTTCTTTAAAATACATTTCTTTTAGATTTATAATTAAAGAGAACCATGTCTTTTCTGATGCCAGTAGGCACTCCTTTATTAGATAACCATTTATTGAATAAATGTTTATTTAGTGCCATGTTCTGTCTAGATGTGATGGATGCAATACTGACTAGCTAGATTAAGTCTCTTTCCTCACAAAACTGACATTCTGGTGTGCTAGACAAAAAATAAAAACAAAATTTCTCTCTCCCTTATTTCCCAATTTTATTTCCTGCCAAGGCATGCAGTTAAACATTGTATGTACCTTTTCCATAACAAATAGAAACTTTTTTTTAGGTGTACCCCCCTCCATTACATGCCTTGTGTCTTTTTATCTGTTATGTTTTACTTTAATAATTTAGAATTTTCACACCTTGTACTTTTTGGAAATGGTTATACCTAGTAACAACCCTAAAATTTCAGTAAAGCTTAACATGGAAACCAGAGAGGAGGAAAAAAGAGGTCAAGAGTAGGTGAGAGGATAGATCATGAAGGTTTGCCTGCATGGGAAGCATATTGTATGTAGCAGATAAGCTACATCTAGAGATACTAATTCTAATAGATATGCTATATCTTGAAGCCGGTGGCTTCTCGATGAAATCAGAAAGGAAGGAAAAACCTAGCTCCTAGCATTAAACCACTGCTTGCTTAGCTTTGCCTTAGTGAGGCTGGGCATAAACACTGAAGAATGAACAGTGCTCCTTTTATCTTGCCTATTTCTCTGTAAGTCTGTAGCCAGTCCTGGCTCTGATTATGGATTGGTGTTTTTTAGGCAGTTGCAGAGGAAGGGGCAAGTGTGCTTGTTCACTGTTCCGACGGCTGGGACAGGACCGCTCAAGTGTGCTCCGTGGCGAGCCTGCTGCTGGATCCGCACTACCGGACTCTGAAGGGCTTCATGGTGAGTGGCTGCCTGGCGCTTCCCAGAGACACTACCCACACCAACAATAGATGCCTTTTTAAGAAATGTTTGCCAACTTATTGTTGCCAGCATTGTTTTTCTCTTAGTAGATCAGCAAAGTTATTCATAAGCATTTCAAAGATGAAAAAGACTCGAAGTCTAGAGGTAAATTTCCAAGATAACTAAAACCAATTCAAATCAGTTTTTCTGAATATTAGCTTGGGACACACATAAAACATATTTAAGGATTTGAGAAATAGTTTGATACATAATTGGCTCCTGTTTTCAAATTTGGGGTAATGTGTGAATTATAGCCCCCTAAACCAAAAAAAAAAAAAAAAAAAAAAAAAAAAAAAAAAAAAAACCCCACATTTCATAAAACAGTATTTGGAAAAAATTTTCCATATTGTGCATACAAATAGTCCTTAGGAAGAAAAACAGCTTTCATTCCTAGGTTTCTGTTTTTTAAGTAGTCAGAGTGGACCAAACGCCTCTCAGTGTTTCTGTGTCCTTTGCTGAAATGAGCTCGTTCTCCCATGGAGCTGGACCTCTCATGGAGCTTGACAGCCTTATGTGTGCTTCCCAGTATAACTGGTTGCTTCCACCTGACAGTTGCCTGGCGGGAACTTTTGGCTGTCTGGTACAATTTCCTTAAAATCAGTGCAGGGGCTTCCTAGTGACTATCCCGTTTCCTGGACACTGCTACTGCTAGGACTCCGTTAGCAGGTAGTATCCACTGGCACGCTGGGGCAGGAGAAGAGAGTCAGCCTCCCTTTCTGGAGCTTTCCTTTTTCTGAGAGGTGTCTAAGAACTTCTCATTACCCAGGATAGCAGTGAGACTTGAAAGGGACACACCCGCTTCAAACCTCTCTCCTGTGCCGAGGTTAGAAGGCTGGGTTTCCTCGATTACACTTGGAGAGTGGAAGGGCACCCAGACCTGTTGTGGGAACTGCGCCTGCCGGGAGACTTTCTCCTGCACGGCGTCCTTTCCTGCCACTGACTTAGCCTAACTGGGCCACATTAAAGCATTAAACTTGAAGCAAAAGTACATGTGTTTAGAGTAAAATGCATTTGGAGTTGTCAAGTACAGACTTTCAACAGTGCTTGTTGAAAGATTATTATATATATCTTCAGGGGAACTAATGGCCAGATTAAAGCACTGATGATAATAGAACCTCTCTATATTGTGTTGTCTATATTATGTAATTTATGTGTTAACTAGAACAGTTTTTAGAAAACTGTTTTTAGATTGATTGCAAGATAAGTTATGTGTGTTCCGTACAAGTTCATGGTTAAAAAAAATCCATACAGAAATGCAACAGTATATTGTGTATATAACTAAAACAGTTTTTTTAAAATTACATAATACAGAAAACATAATTACTACATTACTACAACATTAAACTGTAAGACTACAAACAATTATTATATTATGCTGATATAAAATTCTCTGTTTTAGTTATGCACACAAAGATCAGGACAATAGAGTAAGTCAGATAAGTAGAAGATACAGTGTCACAAGAAAAGGTAAATTTAGTATAACATGTTTCTTTTTGCCTGAAATCACTCTCAAAAGGGTTTTTACACTTGTTTACTTGTTAGGAATAATTGTTACATTTAAAGAAATAAAGTGGGGCTGGGGATTTAGCTCAGCAGCATAAGTGCCTGGGTTGCAAGCAGGCAGTCGTGAGTTCGATCCCTGGTACCGATAAAAAGGAAAAAGACAAAAGAAAAAGAAATAAAGTGTAAAATATATAATAAAGTCTAAAATATATGCATTATATACTGGGTCTCAGAGACCCAGTATGTAATTTAAAAATAAAAACAAAACACTATTTTAGATTGTAAACTCATGATAACCTTACCTTTGGAGGGCCAAAACTTATACCCCCAAACTCAGTGATTTTAGAGTTATTCTACTGTGTATTACAAAATCACTGGAGAACATTTCTAATTGTTTCCTGTCAAAAATTTGGTATTTTACATTATACAGACAGGCAGCATCACACAGAGTTAAGAAATAGGGTTCAGAATCTAGCTTACAAAATGGTGCATCCTGTTTCCTAGTAGCACGATCTTTCTTGGGTAATATTTAATTTCTCTTTGTTTCAGTCTTGCCTTTTCTAAAATGACAGCAATAAAAATGCCTGTCCCACAGGGATATATGAGATCACATAGGAAGCAATTTGAAATACCTGGCACACAGAAAGCACCCCGGGAATAGGGTTACAATTTCAGTTACCAGTTCTTGTTTTTCTTATGGATGACCTTGGACTTTGCCTTCCCATGTGCACTGGTGACTGATGTGTTCTAATTCATTTGTAGGTTACTCAGGGGTAGTGATGTCTGTTCCAAGTACTTGTGCATCCTGCACCCTTTTTGATTGTGGACTCTTTATGTCATTTGTTTGCTTCTCTTCATATCTGTGTTTTCTTTGTGTGTGTACGTAGGTATTAATCGAAAAGGACTGGATTTCCTTTGGCCATAAGTTTAATCACAGGTAAAAGATATTACTAAACATATTGTTTTGGATGTTTACAATAAAAAGACTTTCTGAAGTTTTCACTGGTTTGTTTTGGTTTTTGAAAGGTATCTAATTTTGTGTATCTTGTTTGGAAAGTTCATATTTTGTTGTATATGTTATATCAAAGATAAATGAAGTTCTTATACCCTGATTTCCCCCAGTATTAGTTGGGTAAAACTAATGTTAAATTGTCCTAGAAAAGATACTCAATGTTTGTTCATTCATTGACCTAGAAAAGGTCGACGTTCCTTTCTTCCTTCTATACCTATTTATTTACTAAATTACTCCATTTTCAAAGGACCCCCATTTATTTAGGCTGCAGTTTGTGAAATGCCTGTGGAACAGTTTCTGTGATCTTTCACAGTGGCAATCAGATTGAGCTGTTCAAATGGCATTCCTGTCACAGTAAAGTTTATCCCAGATGTGTCTGGAGAGGTATATAGGACATTGAGCTAGGCTTTAGGGCCAGTTAGAACTAGCTACAAATCCAGGCTGTGGTATTTACTAACTGTCTTGACTGGGTACGGCAAGGTGGTCTCCCGTCTTGTTGGGAGATGTCCTCCCTACTGCATAGCATTGTGTTAGGGATTTCTAAAGTCTGTGTAACTGGGATCTTTGATACCTTATCCAGAGAGTAGGCATTGTTATATTCAGTTTTGAGGTTTTGTCGACTAGCTACTAGGCAGCTAAACTCTTTAAAGTAGATGACAAAATATGGAAATGGCTGACGATCAACTGGATAATTATTTGACTGATGAGCAAAGAATGTATTAGGCAACCTTTTTAAAATCTGCCATAGTTTTTTTTTTTCCCCCAAATCTATTTTATTTCAAAGAGAAAAAGAAAAAGAAGAAAGAAGAAATAAAAAAATAAAATCTGTCATAGGTGAGTGGAATAAAAATGTTTGAAAAGTTTCAAACAATTTCTAATGTTTCTATTTTTGGGAAAACTCTTAAACTAACATTGCTCAATTCTTTCCTCTGAGTTGATTATCTACAGCTGCGATTAGGTTCTGTATTGTTTTGATGGCATCCAAAGCATCTTTTCAGATGTTTGCTACAAGGTCCCAGAATAAACCACACCTTCCCATGAGCCAGGGGCAGCCATCTGGAACAGAAGAATCAAAAAGCCAAAGATCACCTTCCTGTGAGGCAGTGGCAGCCATGGGGAACAGAAGGAGAATCAAGAGGCCAAACTATGCCTTCCTATGAACCAGTGGGCATGTGGGCCGGGAGACAAGAGGTGCAATGCGCCCCACCCAAGTAACCAGCTGACTCAGAGAAACTCAGGCTAAGATGATAGCAACTGAAGTAATAAAGTAACTTAATGCTTGTATTGTTTGATTGACTTTCCAGGCCTAAAACTGGTAGCCTAAGCATGCATTTGGAGAATAACAATATGCATTATAGAAACTATGCGGATTGCCTTCTGTCTTGTTTTTGAAATCCAATGTTTTGTTCCATTTTATTGTTTTCTTTTATTCTTATATCTAGTAACCTGAGCAACTGTTTTGAAGATAACAATATGCAATATAAAAACCCTTGTTATGTTCCTGTCATCTTGCTTAAAACCCTGTATTGCTATTGTTATTTTTTTGGGTTTGGGGTGTTTTGTTTTGGTTTTATTTTTTTGGTTTGTTCTTGATTTTTCTTTTTTATTCACTCTTTAAAATTAAAAAAAAAAAAAAAGACAAAGAACAGAAGTCTTCACCAGGAATTAACAAACAAGGAAGATTCTTGATATATTCTTGACAAATGAAGACAGGGTATAAAGCAGAATCTGTGGAATCTATGGCCACATGAAAATAAATGATGTTACAAATTAATTCTGCTGTAGGAATGGGAATACTCCTAGAAACTTGAAAAAACTTTTTCAAGTTAACTTCCTTCTTCATCCCTTCTGAGCAACGTCAACAGTGAAGACACAGGCTGCTTAGAAATTTCTTCTCACTGTCCAATTAGTCACTAATAATTCTATTTCAAACATTCTGTTGTGTTTTTAAAGTTTGAATTTTAAGAATGACTTTTCAATGGAAAGTTTTCTTGAATTTTACCTCTAATACTAACGCTTATTTTTGTAACTATCACAGGCATGTTTTCTTCACTTACCTAGGCGGTCATTATGTTTCTATCAAAATGGGAATTTTAGATGTTATGTTTCCACATCCTCATTTTGAGCTGCAGATTTAATTAGGAACCAAGGTTGCTTTTATGGTGGATTTTGCATTTATAGTTTTCTAATTTAAAAACTTACCTTATAAAGTCTTCAATACTTTGTTTTGTAGATATGGCAATCTTGATGGTGACCCCAAAGAAATCTCACCAGTAATTGACCAGTTCATTGAGTGTGTCTGGCAGCTAATGGAACAATTTCCCTGTGCCTTTGAGTTCAATGAGAGGTTTTTGATTCATATTCAACATCACATTTATTCCTGCCAGTTTGGAAACTTCCTGTGTAACAGCCAGAAGGAGAGAGGAGAACTCAAGTATGTAGTTCACATTTAATTTTTATCTAAATAGTTTGGCAGTTGAGAATTTCAGGTGATCTTTCATGATTTTGAAGATTTAATCTGTATATATCGACAGGTTAGAGATCATTTCCTGCTCCTTTCATAAGTGGTTTTAGTGTCATCAACTGATAGAGATATGTACACATTTATTTTTCCCCCACTTTCTAGCTGTGCACACAGACAAGTTGGAAGACTTTACGTATTCATATTTAAAGGAAACTTTCTGGAGTCCAAGTAATTCTTTATCTGAAAGGAAAAAGTTATACATTTTTCAGTGGATATAATGTAATAAAAATTGCAAGTAAAAGAGAAAAGCAAACTCTTGATACTTGGGTCACTGTTAATTTAAATTAAAACTACATTATATTATCTAAGGGGAAACCTAGATAAAATTCTGAGTTTCACATAATTATAAAGTAAAAAACAGCAAGGTGATTTAGGAAGATCAAAGGAGAGAACATTGAGATTTTCTGAAAATGATTTTAAATCATTATATGTAGTATCAGATCTAATTTTAGAAGTGGTTCAAATAACTAGTAGTTTTATGCATCTAAATTGAACTGAAAGACTTCTCTAGTCAATATAAATGGAGATGATTAAAATGGCAGCATACATAGGCTCACCTGTTTTCCCAGAGAGTTTGTGATTTACTGCCCTTGACTAGTGAGTTCTGCCAGCGCCTGCTTGGGTGTGAGTCCTGGCTTCTCCACTCAATACTTAATGTCGCTACTTACGAAGGCTACTTAATGTCTTCATCGCTTAGCTTCCTCAGGGGCAAAATGCACGCATCTCACGGGAATTCAGTGAGGATTATACGGAGAAAACACAGCGTTAGGGTAGTGCCTGGCAAATAATAAATATTCAGTGGCTCTTTGGGAAAAAAGAAAAAAATTATAGAGCAGTTTTTTTTTTTTTAATGCTCAGAAGAATTAAACATCTTTCAGAGCTAATGCAAAGGGTAGAATAGTCAAGATTATTACTTTCTACTGTATTACTATACCAAGAAACCACTAGCAAGGATAAATCTCTCTGCTACAAAGAGATAACTGTTAGCACATTGCAGTTTTAAAATTATATCTACTATGCATAAGAACCAGAATTGGTCATCTTCAGATGAACATATTTTCTTTGTAACAGAATCCAAGAAAGAACATACTCATTATGGGCTCACCTGTGGAAGCATCGGGCTGACTACCTGAATCCTCTGTTTAGAGCTGATCACAGTCAGACCCAGGGAAGCCTTCATCTCCCTACACCTCCAAGCAACTTCATGTACAAGTACGTAGACCTTGAGGGATTTTCTAGGTGTGGTGTGAACTTGGATTCTAGCACTGTTTAACATTCACACGCCAAAGTATGCGAAGTACAAAAACACTGTATTTTAAAACTTGCCCCCTTTTTTTATGTTATGGAAAAAATTAAAAATTTCGTAACAATAGAATAACAATAATTAATACATTGCATATTGTTATCTTTAAAATAGTTATTAGAGTGTAAGATACAGGCATTAAAATTTCTTCAGTTGTTACTAGCACAAATCTTCCTTTTCAGTAAACTAAGAGACACTCATAGTGCGCTTGACTCTTTTTCCTTTTCCCTTGTGTCCCCTTTTCCTATATCCTACTTCCTTTTTACTTCTGAACAATTTCTTCCCATTTCACAATATCTACTGCACATTTTAGACCTTATTTTCTTTGTTTCTTACCCAAAGAGATAGTATGATGTTTACACATGATTGATTTATTTCACTTATTATTAATATGGCCTCAAGTTGAATCCATTTACCTATAAAAGTCTGAAAATCTGGGCTAGGGATTTAGGTCAGCAAAGTAAGCTCCTGCCTGGCAAGTGCAAGGTCGTGAGTTCCATCCCAAGTACCAGAAAAAGAAAAAAATTAGAAATCTGTATGGAGATTCCTTAAACAGCTAGGATTACAGGTCCCATTTGACCTGGCTGTTTCCCCTTGTAGGTATTTTCTCAGAAGAATTAAAAGCATACCACTGTGATATATGTGCATCCATGTTTATAGCAGTGTAATTTGTAATAGTAGCTCTTGGAAACAACCCAAATGCCCATGAACTGAAGAATGGATTTGAAAAAAGATGTGGTGTTTTTGTACAGTGAAGTACTACTCAGCCATAAGTGGTATTTTAAAACTTTTCTAGACACACAACTGATTGGAGGAAGATATGACTGATATATGACTGATGTTTTGGCAATATCTCTTCCTCTTCACCCTCCTAAATGTGGAATTTTCTTCAGAGGTTGATGTTTTATAATGATGCTCTTAAAAATGCATCTTAGATTGTTTTTTAAGGTGAACGTGAAAGAAAAAAACAAGAGCCTTTTTGTTTGTTTGTATTTGTTTGTTTTTGTTCCAGGAATTGAACTCAGGACCTTGCACTTGCCAGGCAGGTGTGTATGCTGCTGAGCTATGTCCCCAGCCAAGTGCCTTTTAATAAAGTCAAATCAGAATCACAAGTTTTAACAGCAGTCATCACATAACTTGCCTCTCTGACTGTTGGATCAAGTCCTGGTAGAAGTAAATTACTATAAAATTGTATGATTGGGACAGGGAAAGCACGGTAACCTCCTGCAGGTTCTGTTAGGTGTACCTAAAGTTGTGTAATATGTATCATTCTTTGGCATCTCTTGTAGTCTTGTATAATATAAGAACGTGACTCGCAGAGCAATAGACAAGCACACACAAAATAAATTAGAAAATTGTATTCGGCCTTACTCTTTCCCAACAGCTAGTGGCTTTTTTATCTATAGGTTTTATTCTTCATGTAGATTTCTTCTTTCTTATTCCAGTATTGGTATTTCCCCAGATTTTTATTTTTTTACAGCAGAATACTAATTTTGTATTACTAAAAGCAAAATGCTTGCTCTGTGGCTTGTGTAAAACAGCTTTTTTTTTTTTTTTTTTTTTTTTTGAGACAGTATCTTCCTGTGTGATCCAGGCTGGCCTCAAACTGGTCGCAACTGTCCTTTCTCAGCCTCCCAAGTGTTGGGAATATAGGTCTTGTACTACTACACCTGGTAAAAGCATTTTTAAGAGCTGTTGAAACACTCTGTCCTCAAAGCACTTTTCTGTTCTCAATAAGAAAAAGAACAAAAATCAAAGGACCAAGGCCAAGGACTTAGCCTAGCAGCATAAGCACCTGCCTGGCAAGTGCAATGTCGTGAGTTCGATCCCTGGTACCCCCCCCCAATTAAAATCAAAGGACCTATGATAACCCTATGGCAGCACTATTTATTGATTGATTGATTGATTGATCTGGGTACTGGGAATCGAACTCAAGACCTTGCACTTACTGGGTAGGTGCTTGTGCTGCTGAGCTATTCCCCTGGGCCCGTCACTTATTCTTATCAACATTCTAGTACAGTAACACTGTTTAGGATAAAAGGTGATGGTCATTGCAAATGTGAATGTCAGGTTTTGGTGGCAGTGATTAAAGAATCTGAAAACTTTAAGATTGAAAGCCTCCTGTTGCAGCTGGAAGATTCTAAACATACAATTACTAGTTTTTGAAATTCAAAACTAAGAGCCATTTGAGAGAGAGAGGTGGTACCTGTGCTGTTTCAATGTATTATAGAACACTAAGTGCCTTCTAATTCAGTATTTTATATATATATATATAAGTAGACTCTTCAGGGACTTATTTTCCCCAAAAGAGCTTTACTGAACCAAGAAAAAGAAAATAACCTGTTTAGTAGTGGCTTTTTGCAGCTTGTGTGTGTTATTACAAAGGCCAAGGGTATGGTATTAAGTGCGCACAATTTGAGAGTGTGAACTTTCAGATTGGGATATGGTGGGATCGTAAAGTGGTGTCTTCCTTGTCAGGTTTTGGAGTGGGATGTATAACCGCTTTGAGAAGGGGATGCAGCCCCGACAGTCAGTTACGGATTACCTGATGGCAGTGAAGGAGGAGTCCCAGCAACTGGAGGAAGAACTGGAGGCCCTGGAAGAAGTAAGAACCACTTGATACTGTTAATCTGTTTTCTGTGCTTGCTTCTTGAAAACTGCTGTACTGAAGCCTCTACAGATTCAGCACAGAAAATGTGGTGACAGCCTTTCTTCTCTTTAGCAGGGAATAACCTAGCACACACTCATCCAGGTGAGCCGCTAGACGAGCAAAGCTCAAACCTAGGTTTTCAGTTCATTTTAGACAGCTGGCTTGTAGGTTACTTTTGGTTTGCTGAATGACTTGGCTACTCAGTACTTTCTGTTATTATTATTCATGAATACTAAAATGAATTCTTTGTAGAGAAAGAACAAAAAGGTGGGGGAGTGAATAAAATTAGGTCATGTACCTGTAATAAAAATCCATTTCTCCATTTTTAGTACTTGTATATGATATTAATTTCTAAATGATAATGGTTGAGGCTGGCTACAATCTGTTTTGGCCCTGTCCTGGGCCCGGGAGGTTCTAGCTGTGTAAACGTCTTTTCCCGTGGATTCCTTGTTTTCAGTGGCAGCACTCTAGCTGGTCACCCAAAACACTCCATCCTTTGCTTCGCTTGCTTCACTCACCGTCTTGAATCCCTTTATTATGTACTTGCTCAAGAAATGGTGATAAATTCCTAGCATTTAGGACCTAAATTCTTAATGAGGCTCAGTGTTTTAAATACAAAGAAAAAAATTTTTTTTAAGATTACATAGTGTAGAAAAAAGTACTAAGATTAAGGCTGAGAAACTGTCCTGAGTTTAGGTCCTTTGTTACGCTTCCTAGAGCAGTAATATTACTGGAGGAGAATTTCCCTCCCAATTGATGAATGTCTAAATGAAAGTTGCCAGAATATCACAAGTTAAATGAAGTCTTCTCCTTTGCCCACTGAGTACTTAGCTGCAGGTCACCACCGAGAGTGATAGGCTCGGGGAATGAAAAATATTAAGATTATTACTAATAATAGAGGGGCCATCTAGAGATAACTGAGTAGGCTGACTCCTGTTTCTCTCGTAATACTCTAGAAAACATCACCTTTCAAAATATAAATATTGTAAAAGATTTTAAGCCTAGGATTGACTGCAAAAGAAGTGTATGGCAGTCCAGACAAGTAACGTGGGCCCAAAAGGTTAAACTGTTCATTTTGAGAACTTGTGAGGCCAGACATAACTGGTACTATACCATAAATCTTCCAGGGTCAAAAAAAAAAAACCAGTTGAGAAGCTCTGAGTGACATCAGTGTGCTTTGTTTTAGTGGAGAAGCAGGTTTTAACAGTGTCTGCCATGAGATGACCAGCTCACAAGGAATTCTGATACCTGGGCACTACGCCTGGAAATTTCTAATCTTTAGAGACAGATGATAGTGATTTCAGCCAGGACTGAGAGATCTTGAATTAAAGAATAAATGTAAAGAGACAAAGTGAGGCACATTTTTGGAATTCCGGGACTGTCTTGGGCTTTTTGTCATTTAAAGTCCCTTCATGTCATCATTGGCCAGTTATATTTCTCTTCCTAAAGACATTCCAGCTTTATGCAATTAGGATTCTGTTGTCTAGTCTAGCATTCTTTTGTTATAATAACCTCTTGAAATTATTTTGAATATCTAAAAGTACCTTAATTTTTTAAAAAATTAGCTCTTACTTCGTTATAACAAAGATAAAATTTATAGGAAGATGAGACAAGAATTAAAGTTTGCTGAAAAAAAAGAGACATGGTAGCCATTGCTGATTTCCTATCGTCATGCTTTGAAGTCCAGAAATGCATTTATTCTTTGTTTAGAGTGGTTTTAGTCTGTTTTGTATTGTTTAATTTCAATATGTATGAAGGTATGGACAGCTATTTTAAAGAGAAGAAGAGACATTACTGCAGCCATTGTTGATTTTCCTACTGTCTGGTTTTGAAGGCCTGTAATGCTTTCATTCTTCTGTTTTGATCAGTTCTATAGTACTTTGTTTTGTTTGAATTCTTTGTGAGTGAAGATATGGACAACTGTTTCAAAGAAAACAAGAGACATTGTGGTAGTGATAGTTGATCTGCTGCCTTGCTTTGAAATCCTGTGTCACTTGCATTGTTTTCTTCTGATCTGCTTTGTTCTGTCTTGCTTTACCCTCTTTAAAATAAAAAAAGAAAGAAACAGATAAAGTTCTAAGCAAGTCTGAGCAACTCAGTGAGACTGTCTGATAATGTAAAGCAGGGCTGGGAATGTAGCTGAGTGCAGAGGCCCTGGGTTCAGTCCCCGGGACCACAAGGGGAAAGTTTCTAGCTCAGCGTTTGAGATTTTCCTATAATCTAGCCTAGGACTCTTTTTTTTTTTTTTTTTCTTATTCTCTTTGCTAAAATTGAAGATTTCTGCTTTTTGTCAATATGTAACACCTTTGTATCACTGTCCTTCCTCCCTGGAATGCTTTCTATCCCCAGAATCCTTAAGTCTTTTACAATTCTTTTAAAATATTACTTTCCTAAAGCTCACTCCACTGTATTTCTTCAAACTGTCACAGCCCAAACCTCTTAAGTTTGCGTCTTCCAAATTCCTACACTGTCTCTCTTGTTTATAACACTCCAGGTGCTCCTGGCCATATCTGGACTCATGTCTTTTTTTATATTGCTGAGCCTAGTGCTTCTGTGCTGATATTTTATATAAATGCTTTTTGAATGAGTATATAACACTTGATCTTGTAGTCCCCCTCCTGCTGACCAGTTTACTGGACACATTCTGGTAAAAAGTATTTTGAAATGCCCAAATGTCCACAATTTGAAGCATGTAGAAATAAAATGTGGTGTTACCCATGTAATGGAATATAGTTCAGCCATAGAAAAGCAATGAAGTACTGACATGTGCTGTGTAATATGGATGATCCTTATGATCTCATTGATATGAAATGTCTAAAATATGCAGATCCACAGAGATAAAGTCAGTTAGTGATTGCCAGGAGCTATGAGGAGGTGGATATAGGAATGACTGCTAATATTTTTTTTTTCTTGAGAGGAGAGAAAATGATTTAAATTAGTACTCATATACTAAATATACTAAACCCCACCAAATTGTATACTTTAAAGTGATGAATTTTATGGGGTGAATTATCTCAATAAAATTAACACATCATTCTGACTTTTAAAAACATTTTTAAATTTATAGGATACAAATCATTATGTAAAACTTTACCAGTATAGAAAAGAGGGAGACTCCAGTGGTCTGTGTTACATTGCTGGCATTTACCGAAAGCCTGTGGAGGCTGGTGGCCCATCCTTGCATTCCAGATGAGGAAAGCCAGCCTCACGGAATTTATTCCGAGCAAGGTCAAAAAACTTGTATTTGAGCCCATTTAAGTTCCATGTTCTTAACATTATGCCATCTGGCAGGTAACAAATACCAAACCACATATATATGTAAATAATTATGACTTCTTTCCTGAAATTATTTTGTCTTCAGAGGCTGGAAAAAATTCAGAAGTTCCAGTTAAACTGCAGCAGAGTGAAAAATAAACAGAGTGAGCCCAGCAGGCACGCGGAGTTTTCTACCTCAGACAACAGCACCGCCAACACGCCCCAGGATTACAGCGCAAACCTGAAGTCCTTTCCTTCCCGGAGCCCTTCCCAGGGTGATGAAGACTCGGCGCTGATTCTCACGCAGGACAATCTGAAGAGCTCAGATCCGGACCTGTCCGCCAACAGCGATCAGGAGTCCGGCGTGGAGGATCTGAGCTGTCGGTCTCCCAGCGCGGGTGAGCGCGCGCCCAGCGAAGACAGCGGCAAGGACAGGGATTCCGACGAAGCCGTGTTTCTGGCTGCCTGAAGCTTCCCCCGGAGGTTCGGAGAGGGCTCCGCAGGAGACACTTCCAAAATAAGGGGACTGTGCAATGCAAAATAACCTAGGAGGCGGGACATGGCATCCAGGGTTGTAAAATGGAGCGACAGAACTGGAAAACAGATGTCCCTGTCTTAGTTTCTTTAGGTGTTGAAGAACTGGAAGCCGCCAGTTCTTTTGTCAGATACAAAGAAAATTATGTACATTTTGAGACTTCCTCTAGACTATGAAAACCGTATTCCTACAGAGTGACTCCTCCTGAGGTTGTAAATCCTCGCTGTCACAGCACGCAGCTGCTCAGAAAGCCCTCTGGCCCCTTCCCGACCTATTTTCTTCTTGAACCTTTCTTCACGTTTCACCTCCAAAGCATAGTTTGTGTTTCTAAAACGTTTGACATCATTTCCCTTTTGACTCTGTTACCAATATTTCTAAAAATAGGGCATATTGTGGAGATGCGGGCTTTTTGATTAATAGATGTACTCCTAAGGAGCTTTGACATTGTTTAAGCTTATTTTTCTTGTAAAATAGCTACTTTAACTTTTCTTTAGGCAATATATTCTGAATTGTTATAATTTATGTTCTTTCTCTGAAATCTTTTCTGTTTCCCCTGTCATTTAAAAAAATGCTAAAACTTGTAACTCACTTTTTCTCTAATGTGGGTCTATTACCTAATAAAGTAGAAGCAATGTAGTCTCTGGGTCTTACATATGAAGTTTTTCTCCCACTACCGGGGATTGAACTCATGACCTTGCACTTGCCAGGCAGGCACATATACCACTGAGCTAAAACTGTGGCCCTTACATAGGAATTTAGATTCAGCTAGCTTTCTTGATAACCTTTTATTACTACTTCAGAGACCGCAATTACCAGCCTAATCACAAAGTGTAACATAGTAAAATTGGTGTGGTAAACATCAGCAAAAGAAATGGATGAGTTAAGTACTGGAGAATTTCATCGTCATGCCTTGTTAATGGGAGAACTAGTTATAGCATCTATCACTAGAAATTATGTAAACTGTTAATCTGTAACATAATCAGTGACATAAGCTGTCCCTTGACTGCCGAACACTGAACATTAGCTGTGAAGTTTTCATTTTATTAAAATGCACCTTTGAAACAATCACTCCTTATGTTATGCTAAAAAGCAAACCTTTACTTTTGATCTGAAAAAACAGTGATCAAAAGTTGCAGTGTTTGAACAAAAAGAAATAATGTTCACAGTGTATGGTTTTAAAATATTAGTGCAATCTAGAATTAAAAGGATTCATGCATAAACTTAATTTTTATAATTTATATCATTTTATTAAATATGTAAATTTGTATAGGGGAATATTAAATTTTTCTGAAATGACAGTTGAAATTCCTAGTGTGAACTATTTGAAGCATAATAATATATATGAATGAAACAGTATAACTGCAGTTGTGTTCATCATATTTAAAAGTAAAATAACTTTAGTATATTAAAAACCTTTAATATAAAAGTACTCTGCTACTGTAAAAAAAATAAAGCAAGTACAGTTTTTCTAAAACATAAAATTTGAGCATTTTCTGCTGAGTTACTAAACAAGCACAGGAAATGTTTACTCATTTTCTGTATAGTGTACTGAATAGGAAGTATCATGCTAATAAGTACTTAGGATACAGTGGCAGTGGCATTGACGTTTTTATCACATGTATAAAACTTCATGCCATTCTTATAATTATGTATTATTAGAAACTTTTTACCTAATGAAATACGGCTTTAACTTTTTCTAGTTGACAGTGTAATTCTACAAAAGCAACTTTTTTTTTAAATCACACTGCCTATGCCAAACAATACTATGCATTTATTTGGAAAGCCAAATATATGTTTGATATTTTACATTTTAATATTTTAATATGATACCTTACACATCAGAGCCATAAAAATTTTGGTTCCCTCTACCTTTTTACAAGACACTAATTTAAGTATATGTTCATGTAGTGTGCTACTAGACGTTAGCACTGAAATTTGTACAATTATTACATTATTAAAACTATGAAAACTATACTTTTCTTTCTTGATAAATGCACCTTTGAAACAATCTAACAAAACTAAAATTGCTGACACTTCATTTTCATTTTAAATCAAACTTCAATCAGGAGGTGTTATTTGTAGCTCTGGTTTAAAACACTGGAAATGAATCAATGTATAATGGACACTACCATATTCTTACATAGTAATATTTAGGGCTCAAGTGATTTATTTTTTAGTGATATTAAGGTAAATATAATATTAAATAGGTAAGAATTTTGACCATAGTTAAACACACCAAGAACTGAGTTTTTATAGACTAAAGGAAGGTAAGGAAAAGAGGGTAAACCTTTAATAAGTTATTATTTTTTAAGAGAAAGTGATTAGTTTACTGTCCTATCGTAACAGTGACTCGGAGCTGTCCTTCAATTTAACCATACAGAAATTTTGATCAGTCCTTCTCACCAACCTTCTATCCCATATACATCACTTAACCTCAGTTTACTTCTTGGGGTCTCTTTTGATTTTTTTAATGAGTACCTTTAGTATGTATTGTAATGATTTAGGCTTGTATTTTGAAAAGCTAGCCAAACCTCCAGCCTAGATAGCCTAATAACTCCTAAGCTTTCCTTTACAGTTTTAATTCCAATCTAGTCTAACATTACACTGGTCCCTTGTCTGCCATTGATTCATTCTATCTTTTGGAGGATGGTAAATCAAGTTTATGGTTTGCAAGGAGCTGGTGTTTTATATGAAAGATGTTTCATCATGAAATACTGAAACTTATTTTCTGAGGTTGTTAGATACCTAAATCTGTAAGATTATGTTAGACACATTTTTAATATAGTACTTGGTTACACAAACCAAAATTGGCAGACAAAGTTGAGTTTCCACTGTTTGTGTGACCTGGAGAGTGTAAGTAATCTTGTAACAGAATCATACATTCTGAAAGGTTACTGCGGCATGATAATATGAGAAAGTATCAATTGTGGCCCAAGAGCTATAACCTAACATCACCAGTGGAAGACACCTGCTGTTTTTTCTTCCTAAACACCTGCAAAGATTTAGTCAAGGTCCAGGCATTTCTCCAGTTGGTTTTCAGTCTCCAGTCTCAGAATTCTTAGTCTAACTATTTGCCACATTATTGCCTTCCTTGGTAGCTTCAGGAAGTCACCTGGTAAATCCGACTGGCACTAAACAGCTGTGCACACCTGACTGAAACAGTTTCAAGGTTCCCCCAGGCACGCTTCCTGTCTTCTGAATTTTCTGTCCCAAGTCCATGCCCAGCACTGCTCGGTCACATCCAGCCCCTAACTTCCTACTCTTTACTTACGTACAGCACTTTCTGCTATGAACATAAAGCAGTGTCCGCTGCCTTATCAATGGAGTCAGGCCACTTCTTTTTATAGGACTCTGTAGTCACCTCAGTCACTAGAGGGACATCTTTTTCTGGTACTTTTTTCCCCAGCTGGCACCGCTGTCCAGGGTGTTCTGTGAAGCAGTATCCATGTGTGTTGTAATTTGTATAGAAAAGAGAAAAGTATTCAACTTTAGAGCTCCTCACTCAGATAAAACCCAATGAATGAATTTTGGTTTTCTCAAAACATTTTCATGTACCAAAAAAAAAAAAAAAAAAGTTTTCATGTTCCCCAGTGAAAACAGCTTTTCATCACAACAAAATTAATTTCATCTCTGACTGATCATAGTTGCACATGCAAAATTCTGTCCCACAGCTCAATAATCTCTTAGCTTCACTGGGCAGACACATGCATTTGTGTGTGCATGTCTGGTGGCATAACAGTGGCCACTGGAGCTGCATATGTTGGTTGGACTGTCATAGCATATGTGTTATACGTGTGAACTCCAGTCAGCTGCTCCTTCCCTCATAACATCCAACAAAACCCAAATCATGCCCTCATGTATGCCGTAAATTGCTGATTGGTTTTGGATCTGAAGTCTTGGACAGAGTTGAGGATTTCAGAAAGGAAATAAGAAACTACAAAAGGGAATTACAATTTTGCGGGGCTAGTGAGACTTTCAAAACTTTCATAATCTCACCTAATCAGAATGTTTTGAGAGAGCTGATTAATCTGATTCACAAAATGTTTTAAATAACTAGTTTCACATGATCCCACATTTTGCCTCTCATCAAATATTTTAAGAGAATTTCTCAGCATTTAACACCTGCACCTTAATTTCCGATAGAAATAAAAAGTATCTACTTTATGAAGGCAGTGATGATAGGAAATATGCAAAAAAAAAAAAAAAAAACCAGGAGCACCAGCGCTCAATCATTAGCAATCACTATAATATGTTTTCCTACTTACTGCAATCAATATCATTTACTGTTTTTTGAGACAGCATTTGCTATGTCCTGGCCAATCATATTGCTTGAATTCACATGGCTCCCCAGGTGGCTGGAATCTAGTCTAAACGATACAGTGAACACATGCACAAACAGCAGCAGAGGCTGAGCACCCAGCAAGCAGCAGGAAAAAAAAAATAGTCAGTGGGTTCAGCTGGACACAAACGTGATGGGGTTCTGGTTCCTGGACGTCTGTACCGATGTGACTGGTCAGGCTGGGTGAACAGCAGGCTCTTTCCTCCCTCACAGGTGCCCACCCAAGCCACAAAAATCTATGCAGTTGGCTGAAAAGGATGAACTACAGAAGCACAGGGACTGTCATTCACGTGCACATGTATGCCATTTTTCTCTTCCAGATCAAGACCCATTTATAATTAAGAGAAGAAAATAATTAGCACAGAGCTAAGGACTGTGGTATGGGAAACCAAGCCAGTCAGGTAGGAAAAAATCCAGCAGAAATCTCAAGGCAAGGAGAGAAACGTGTACACATACAAATGTGTGTGAGTTTAAACTATGTACAGTATACGTATGTATGCATGTATATACATATGCATATGTACACAGAGCAATGCAGAATCAAGTTCCCATTCAGAGGTTTATAGTTTGCAGGACAATCAACTCACAGATATAGATATATATATATATATATATACACACACACATATATTTTTAGCTTTTACATGACAAATATGTATTGTGAACAAGAATGTAGATGGAAAATGTTTGTATTAGATAATCTAACTTACTACCCAAGTAAGTGACTTGATGGGATGGGATGTCACCTGAATTTCTAACCAAATCTTGTACCTGTCCTGGGATTTGCATCCCCAAACAGGTTTTCAGGGCACAGCATCCCTCATAATCTGGCCATGTCGTATCATCCCGCCTTGCCTCTGACACTCCTCCTCCTGCAGACACCTCCAGTGACCTCTCTGTGCCCAGGCACATGCCCTTTTCCTAACCTAGTGTGATGGGTTGACATCTGGTAGCCCAGTGGTAACACTCAGCTGAACTGAAACAGCACTGTGTTGCGTTCGCAAGGGCCATCTGAGGATTGTGGCCAACAGCATAAAAAAGAACTGGAGGGGAAGAGGGTGTGCTATTGATTTTCCTGGAGAAGCTTATTGTGCTGGTTTTCCTGACATAAACTCAGCTTTACCATTGGAGCAGCTCAGAAACTTGCTGTTTTTGAAGTTTTGTTTGGTTTTTGTGGTACCAGAGTCTGAAGTCACGACCTTGTGCTTCCCAGCCAAGTGCTTGAGCCACGAGCTAAATCCCCAGGTCCCGGGACCTCACTGTTGCTGAGGATGGAGCAGTTTACTTTGGGGGAGTG